CTGGAGCCTCGGGAAGCGGCTCCCAGGATTCCCGGGATCCTTCCCTGATCCGGCTGCACATTCCCGGCTCTCCCAGCCCCGGGATTGGATCCAGCCCCATCCCACCTCCTCCTGGAGAAGGAATTTCGGGATCCAGGGGCTTCGCGGGGAATCTCGGGACTCCAGGAAGGGTCTCCATTCCCTTTTCCATCCCCGAATTCCATAAAAATCCCTCGGGACGGATCCTGAGTGTCCTCCGGGATGGTTTGGGTGGGAAGGAACCTCAAATCCCATCCCAGGGACACCTCCCACCATCCCAGGCTGCTCCAAGCCCCATCCCAGCTTTCCTTGGATGCTCCCGGGGCCGGGGGAGCCGCAGAATCCCTGGAAAAGCCGTGCCGGGGCCTTCCCAGGAGCATTCCAGCTGCTGCTCCCATTCCCGGGGCCGGGAATCCCGGAGCTGGAGCTCCTTCCTGAACCATCCCAGCTCCGGGAGCGCTCCCTGCTCCCATTCCCGCTGCGGGGCCGGAGAGGGAGCCAGAGGTGGAGCCAGAGGTGGATCCAGAGGGGATCTGGAGGCAGATCCAGAGGTGGATCCAGAGGCAGATCCAGAGGTGAATCTCGAGGTGGATCCAGAGTTGAATACAAAGGTGGATCCAGAGGCAGATCTGGAGTGGATCCGGAGTGGATCCGAAGTGGATCTGGAGTGGATCCGGAGGCAGATCCAGAGTGGATCGGGAGTGGATCCAGAGGTGGATCCAGAGGCGAATCTCAAGGTGGATCCATAGTTGAATACAAAGGTGGATCCAGAGGCAGATCTGGAATGGATCCAGAAGGGGATCCAGAGGTGGATCCGAAGTAGATCTGGAGTGGATCTGGAGGTGGATCCGGAATGGATAAGGAGTGGATCCCGAGTGGATCCGGAGGTAGATCCAGAGTTGAATACAGATTCAGATCCAGAAGAAAATCAGGATCCGGAGTGGATCCTGAATGGATCCGGAGGTGGATCCTGAGCTGATCCCGAGTGGATCCCGAGTGGATCGGGAGCGGATCCGCCCTCACCGTCCTCGCAGAGGTTCAGCCTGGAGAGGCTCCTTCCCTCCAGGGGCTCCTCGGGGGCGGCTCCGCTGCGGCGCTCGGAGAAGGTGCGCAGCTGCAGCGCCTTGCTCTCCATCCTGCGGGAAAAGCGGGAATGTCCCACCGGATCCCGGCCTGGCAGGATCCCGATCCCGGCTCATCCTGCCCGGCTCAGGCTCCGGGGTGGAGCAGGTGAGGCCCCACCTGGAGAGACCCCAGAGCGGCTGCCGGGGCTGGGAGAGCCGGGAATGTGCAGCCGGATCAGGGAAGGATCCCGGGAATCCTGGGAGCCGCTTCCCGAGGCTCCAGGGGCTGCGGGAGAGCTGGGATTTGGGAAAGGGCCACAGGGCCAGGAGCCAGGGAATGGCTTCCCACTGGGAAAGGGGAGCTGGGAGCTTGGGAAGGAATTCCCAGAGAATCCCTGGGAGCGTCCAAGGAAAGGCCAGAGCAGCCTGGGATGGTGGGGTTGGAATGGGATGGGATTGAAGATCCCTGGATCCCACCCAAACCATTCCAGGATTCTGGGATCGAGGACACTCAGGATCCATCCCGAGGGATTTTTATGGAATTCAGGGATGGAAAAGGGAAGGGAGACCCTTCCTGGAGTCCCCAATTCTCAGGGAATTCCCAAAATTCCTTCTCCAGGAGGAGAATGGGAATGTCCAAGGAGCGGCTGGATGGGATTTGGCGCAGGGACAGATCCATGGATTCTGTGTTCCCTGGGATTGTTGTCCCCCCCACCCCAGTTAAAGCATTCCCAGCTCCTGGTCCCACTTCCAAGGGGGAAACCCCATCCGTGGATTCCAGAGGGGGCTCTCAAACCCCCCGGGAACGAGGATGGCGGGAACAGGGGCAGGAGCATCCCGGGGGAGCGGGGTACGGAGAAACCCCCGGCCGGGATTCTCCCGGGACACCGGGACGGGAACATTCCCGGGAATGCCGGGCCAAAAATCCCCACAGGGGTTCGGGGCAGGAATTCCCCTGGGGAAACGGGGACAGGGAGAAGCGGGATAGGAACCGGGATAGGAAACGGGATAGGAAACGGGATAGGAAACGGGACAGGGAGAACCGGGACAGGGAGAACCGGGACAGGGAGAACTGGGATAGGAACTGGGGTAGGAACCGGGATAGAAACCGGGACAGGGAGAACCGGGATAAGAACTGGGATAGGGAGAAGCGGGATAGGAACTGGGGTAGGGAGAAGCGGGATAGGAACCTGGACAGGAACTGGGATAGGGAGAACCGGGACAGGGAGATCTGGGATAGGAACCAGGACAGGAACTGGGATCATCCCAGGGGCACCGGGACAGGGGGAACCGGGGCAGAGGAATTCGGGACTGGAGCATTCCCGGGAACTGGGGCTGGATCATCCCTGGGAGAGGCCGGGGCAGGGACTGGGGAACCGGGACAGGAACATCCCCCGGGAGAGCCGAGACACGGGGATTCGGGATCAGAGCATTCCCGGGACTCGGGGAGCGGGGACCGGAGCATTCCCGGGAATCAGGGATTGAGAACAGGAGCATCCCCAGGACTCAGGGATTGGGGACCGGAGCATCCCCAGGACTCGGGGACTGGGGACCGGAGCATTCCCGGGACTCAGGGACTGGGGACCGGAGCATCCCCGGGACTCGGGGACTGGGAACCGGAGCATTCCCGGGAATCAGGGATTGGGGACCGGAGCATTCCCGACATTCCCGGGGCCGCAGCCCC